ATAGACTTTTTCTTGTTAATATAAATCTAGACTTGTCAATATGTGAACTTGTAACTGGCATAATCTGAGTAATTATAACAGAACATCTGTAAATAAAATGATAAGGTCTATATATTAATAATATCAGATCTATACTTTATATATTACTATGTAGTTTATTAGTTCAAGAATAATTTACAATTTACGCGAGTGAAATTTACAACAAAATATTCATAAATAACATTAAAATGTTCATATATTAACAATACAATGTTGCTAATAGTATGGATTAGTAGGACTAGATTATACAAATTATTGTGGTGAAATTTATAATAGAACATTTGTAAATGACATGACAAATTTTATATATTAATAATACAAAGTTTGTCTATATGAAATTTTTGAACATATGAATAAATTAAGTGCAAAATTTGTATAACATAATAAATTTCATAAATAATAACATGCTTTCGTTGAATTAACAAGAGCATGCACATCAAATCTAACAAATTTCATGTTGTTACTGGATTTTCTACTAAAAAAAGTACCAACATAAAATTTAAAATCACATTCTACTGTTCGAGAGGAAACCTTGTGTACCCTTGAAAAAAAGTTTTCAATTTTTTCATTTCACTAACTGCAGAAAGCCATTCAAATAGAATTTCCATGGTCACATAGTCACATCTGCAAGCATCTTCAATCATTTGACTACATCTCCAACCTTGTCAAAAGGGTGTTGCATGAGGTGGCTTCAACTACAGCATCCAATTTCATTACATCATGTAAATAATTCCAAGTAAGCTGAGTCTTTTGTTTCCCGTGTAGCTTGGTTATGTGATTGTGTGCAGGTGGCAAAGCATGGTAGTGGTGGAAAATAGCAGGGGATGAAGCTGATTAGAATTTCACTCATTTTCAGGTACCAAATTTTTTGTTACAATAACAAAACCAATTCATGAATCAAGTTTAAGTTATAATATAGAATAGATAACCAAGCTTAATGCTCAATGTTGATAAATTCCACGAGGATCAAGCCTTCGTGTCACAAGGTCTCATAATCATAGACTAGAAAAAATGGAAGAGTCAGAGAGAAAGTGAGCAGGAGGTAACTTACCAATGAAGGTACGGTGGATGATATAGCCGCAACAAATGTTAATGATGACCTTTTTACAAGGCAACTCCGAGGATATTCATAATGAATTTGGACGGATATGTGACAGCGCAAGCAGCAGTAACTTGATAGGCAACACATGCACGACTTTGGCTAAGACATCAACCCATAAAAGGATGCAGCACGAAATGGAGACTTGATGGCTAGAGTCGCAACAACTTGAACAACGCCTTCCAGAATGGCTGGAGAGATGGGAACTAAACATCTGGAATGGCTGGAGGCTCGAAATGAAGAGTGAAGTTGAACTGGAGTCGACCTCTCTCTATAGCATACCCCACTGACTCTCTGATAGCACGTTCTTCTCCTCCTCCTTTCACGCTCGGCGATTTCTATTTTTTAGAACAAGGGTACTTTAGTCATTTGATGTTCACAATTAAATTATAGTTCAATCCTTTGGACTTGTAGGAAAAAAAAAAATCAGATTTAATTGAGCCTTGTATGTAATTTAGTTGCTTCAGAGTGCCTCGATTGAGATTCTTAACTTTTATTTTCACGAAGATTGGCACCCTAGGTCATGATTTTTTTTCGTGAAATTACATCTCAGCGCCAACGTGGGTCACCAGCTTTAGCTTTCTCAAAACCAATACCAATACTACGAATATGGCATGCCAACTTCCAAATCATACAGAGGCCACGCGGCCTTATTCATGATGTGGACTTGTACTGTATGTGGCTTCGCTTCACTGTTTGAGCTTGTCCATAATATGCTTCCCTTTCACTGATTTTTTATTATATTTCTCTGCTATTTATCTGTATCTTTTAAAAAGTTTGATCTCCTCAATTTAACTTAAATATGCCTTAAAACATTGCCCTATATTTAATAGTTTGTAAATTTAATAATATTCGGTTTTTACGGTCCGACCGTTAAGGGAGAAATCCTATCAAAATTGAAATAAACCCTTCGTATCTATCGGAAGTTACTCAACCCCCAGATATTCGAGAGAGACTATTCCGGAAACAAGCTGTAAAGTCCAGTCTAGAACTTTCGCACTTTCTCTAAAATCCTTCGGATCCTTCTCCACTCTTCGCCTTCTTCTCGCTTCTTCTTTCTATAAATTCGAATTCTCATCTTTCTTTCTCTCATCAGACTGAGAACCCTAGCAATTCAATCTTCATTGAATCGCTTCTCAATGGCTGCTCAATCAGTGTCTTTGTCATCTTGTTCACCTCTTGTATCCCACAGGGCAGGGCCGTCTTTCATTAAGCCCCTTTTGGCAAACTTCCCTTCGACAGCGAAGAAGCCTTTGCCTCGCTTGGGAACGGTGAGGGTTCAGGCCTCTCATGATAACAAAGACACTTCTGTGGACGTTCACTTTAACAAGGACAATCAAGGTCAACAACAAACCTCTGTGGAGAGGAGGCCTCGCAGAATGGCCATGGATATTTCTCCCTTTGGTACGTCTCTTTCTCCTTCCTTAATTGTTCATGTCTTGTTTTGTTTCGAAGTTTATTCTCATGTATGCCGTAGCGCTGGTGCATCCTTCCACAGAAACTTCGCCTCATTTGTTGTAGAATGGTTTGGATATTTAAGTACCTATGATCCTTGTCCACCGTGATTATAAACTATAAATTGTTCAATCGCTCGAAGTAATACATTGATAAGATTATTCTCTGATAAGGGTGCCATTCTTCCACTCGTGTGGAACTTCAAATGAATTGCTGACACTGACTGCTACTGTTACCCTGCCCCCTTTGCTCTACTATTTTTTGTTGCAATTTTATTTAGTTTAAAAAATATTGCTTCGCTCAAGCCATGAGTTTCCTTAGAAACCAAGTTTGGAATCAATAAAGAAAAGAAGAATGGAAAGAATATATAATACGAGTTAAAAAGTTGTTGATTTTTTGCTATGCTATTGTCTGTTAAATTCCTATGGACGCGTTTACCTTTAACTTGAGAATCAAGTAGCGCCCACTTTAGTCTGATTTTTCATTATCTATTCTTGGGGTACTCTTAAGTGGATAAAATGATCAATCGGAGATGCGTGAGTTCTCTGGGTGAAATAATAGAAAAACTTAACTATGTCAATTTGAATCCTCCCAAACATAAAACCTAATTCAGAAAACGAACTAAAATTTTTTAACTTTTCCGGAGAACCTAACTAAAGCCATTAGTTCTCACTGTTTTAACTGAAAACTGAAGCTTTTTGTTTTTCCGATCCTTGCTTTCTAAATTAAGTCGAATTGTTGTGCAGAGCATCTTATTGGTTTTGGTTCTTGACCCACGACAGGTTTATTGGATCCATGGTCACCCATGAGAAGCATGCGCCAGATGATGGACACTATGGACAGAATATTCGAAGACGCCATGACAATCCCAGGAAGAAGCAGGGGAGGTGAAGTACGATCCCCATGGGACATCAAAGAGGAAGAAAACGAGATCAAGATGAGGTTCGACATGCCTGGTCTTTCCAAGGAGGATGTTAAGGTTTCAGTGGAAGACGATGTTCTTGTCATCAAAGGTGGTCATAAAAAGGAAGAAGGAGGAGATGATTCCTGGTCCTCCCGGAGTTATAGCTCCTACGATACTCGCCTCCAGCTTCCTGATAACTGCGAGAAGGACAAGGTTAAGGCAGAGTTGAAGGATGGTGTGCTTTACATTACCGTCCCTAAGACCAAAGTTGAACGCAAGGTCATCGACGTGCAAATTGAGTGAGATCTAAATCTGTAGTATTTTGCAGTGTTTTTGAGTGTGTGTGTGTGTCCCCCCCCCCCCCCTTCAATTTCCAATATGCATGTCATGTAATATAATGATATAACATTGTCTCTTTCTTAAAAACTCCTAGTCAACTACGCTGGAAGAGGTCAAGCTTAGCTTATGCAAGAAGTGTTATAGAGCAACAATCATAATCATTAAAAATCGAAGGATGCCGTATCGAATGAATGACAGGCATAAATTCATAATCATCAACGATCGAAGGATGCCGTATCAAGTGGGACGACATTTTCCTGAGCTCAACATTGTCTTTGCTCTTTAGAACATCAAAATGATGATAAATTTTCATGAGATGTGAATAACTATCCTATTTTTCAACTGTTTTTTCTCTTTTTGCCAAGGAGCAATTACCATTCATCTCTTGAATCTTGATGGCTGAAAACTTCGACACGGATAAATTGCATGTGAAAGTAGCTAGTACAAATCTATGAAAGCCGACCTTATCTGAACTCCTTATTTATAGTTTATGGAAATTTTTTGTCTGTTTTTTCCTTCCTTCCTTCCCTTGTTTTTCCATTTAAATTACATCAACGGCCATGGAAGCTTAGAGGGTACAACCCAAAATTACAGATAAAAAGGAAGAGGAAATTAACAAAAAGGTTAAAAGAGGAAAAGAAAGTATATTATATGGGGTTCATTTAAGGCCTCGAAGTTACTCGTTTCTTTCATATGTGGAGTGCATTTTAGGCTGCAGTTATTTGGCAGACCAAAAGTACTGTCATACACTTGGGATAGTACATCCTCAAGGATATCTACTTTGACACAAGGATTTCAAGCTGCTTCCATGTTATAGCAAGTTCGAACGTCAATTCCCTGTCTCTAGGAAGAAACATTTGGAGGGGGGCTAGACTAAGAGCCAGGCAAGTAATACGATCTTCCAGCTCTCAATTCATAGTCGGTTCTCTGTTATTGTATTGTTCAGAGTTTGTGGCCGAGTTTTTAATTTTAAACATCCATTTAACGAAGAAGTAAGTCTGCATGTAATGGAAATAGCGGAGTTTAATATAACTGGGTTCCGAATTTGCCATTTTCTTTTTCTTCTGAGCATTTTATTCAGCCAGTTAGAAGATATAAAACGCAACTCAGAACGAAACGAGAAGGATAAAACAGAGCAGCAGGTATAGCGTATTAATTGGGACATGAAATGAAAATTCTCCCTTCCCATCATCTGTTATCGTTAAAAACAACAACGCACAACTACATATGAAAACCGCCAGTACAAAACGAGTGGCAAAATGAAAATCGACCTTAGCTTCCTATTTATCATAGAGTTTATGCTAAGGCTTACGTTTTCCTTATCCTTCTTTCTTTTCCTCCTTTTAACTACAACGACGACCATGTCAGCTCGGGAGAACAGACCAAAATCACAGAAACAGAGAAAGGAAGAAAGAAAAGAAAACGTTAAGCAGCAAGAAGAGAAAACACAAGAAAAGACATATTTATACATGTTACTCGTTCACTTCAGGAATGGAGTCCAGTTTGGGCTTCCAATTGCTTGGCAGGTTAAAAGTCTTATCATGCACCTGGGACAGTACATCCTGTAAGGAGATCTGCTTGGACACTAGCATTTCTAGTTGTTTCTTTGTTATAACAACTTTGACCCTCTTACCCCCACTAGTCGGCTCTCTGTTTCCGGTGGAAGAAACACTCGGAGGAGGACGAGACGGAGAGCTAAGCAAGTAATACAATCGACCAGCTCTCAATTCATAGTCTCGACAAAGATGCTCTGACTCCGACGCTTCCTTAGATGCCCCAAGATGAAACTCCGGAAAGTTGTTCAACACTTCCTTGACGAGAACTGGTGAGCTAAACTCCAGTATCTTCCCATCCAACTTCGCTACCCTTACTACTTTACTCTGCTTCGCCAACGCACCCACTATGGCTAGTCCTGAGTTGAATTCACAACGACCACAACAATTACCCATTTTTGAGTAATTAGATAGACAGGGTTAAGGGCAGAAAATGGACTGGCATAAGATGTGTTTATTGAGTGTGAGAGAAACAGAGAAAGCAGGGGAAACAGAGGAAGGCTGAGTTTTGAAGGGAGAGCGAGAGAGGTATGTAAGGAAACGAGAGCGTTGAATAATTTAAGAGGGGTTTGTTTTCGTGTGGAGTGCAGTAGAAAGCAGTCATTTCATTGTGTAGAAAGAGGAAGGGAATGAAACACACACACATATAAAGAAACAAATTTGTGGGGTTGGGGTATGAAAAAAGAACTGAAAGATTTGTCAACACGCATGCTACAGGGTTGGCTAGTGGAAGCAGCGCAACTGCAATAGCTTATAAATCTAAACGTATAGTTGTATCGTCATAGGCATCTTTTGAACTTCGTTGTGGGACATGTGTCTTTGTTTCGAAGGGTAGGCTCTGAGGCGTATCTTTTGGGCCACACAACCTTGTTCCATTTTCTGGGACGTAGGGAATATCAGCTTCCTCTTGGTAAATGTTAGAGAGATATTTTTGTACCTTGCTTCCTTTCATGTATGAAATATCTTGTGGATTTTATTTTAAGGTTTGTCTGATGCATATGATATGGTTCTGGCGAATTGTGGTATCTAATCTGAGGTGCGACTTCCATTTATGATTTTTCATATACTTTTGTCAGTTTAGAACATATTAGTTAGGCATTGTCAAGTGTCAACTGCTATTTGGTTGGTTCCACACAAAGTTTATGCTTGCATGTCATCAAGTTAATAGTGGAATAGATGGATCATAAATTTAAAGGAAAATAATTATAACAAGACTCTTCCAAATTTCCAATCTGCAAATATAAACGAGTGTAATTCCTAGCACTGCAATATTTGGAGTGTCATTAGGAAAAATCAAGATCAAAATATTGTAACAAGTCAGATATTTCAATCCTTTTCTTCTCCTGAGATTCAACCTATCGTAAAGTGTACGTATGATAGATTTATATGGACAGAAAAAAATAAAATAAATAAACAAAGACGTTTCACTATCGTTCACTGGTAAATGGTCATATAGTAATAGTTAATAAACCAAGAAGCAAGTCTATTTGCTTCCAAATGCTTTAAGGTAAGACTTGGGGTCCAAGCTAAGAATGCAATTATCACACTTGGAAAAAAAGATCAGACAAGGATCTTCAAAATCCACAAAGGCTCCTTTTGGTTATATGTTTAATCATCTTGTTGACCTATAGGTCGTCTTTTTCTATATATATATATATATATATATATAAATTTCACATCAAAACGGACCTAACCCTCAACTAGTTTTAAAGTACTGATTTATACTTGTGGCCCGGATTAAATTTCAATACTCTATGGGGTTTAGAATGCTTGTCTGCTTTTCCACAATGAACTAGGTGCAAGAACAGTTTTTTAAATCTTCCATAGTCATCTAGTGAGTGTCCCAATTAACTTACGTCCTTTTTTTAGTTCTAAGTAAAAATGATTTAATGAGTCATAAATAAAGCTATCAACTTTGGATTTAAGAGTCATCTGGGAAAAAACTTTGCAAAGGAGTTAAATGTTATACTATCTGAGAATGAAAAGGCATAGAGACTGGAGAGAATCATTTAAAAAGTAAAAAAAGAAAAAAAAAAAAAGAAAAGGATAACATGTTTGAAATTGATGATAAGAGAAAAGGAAAAAACATATTTACTCAGTTACAGTTATAAGGACAATGTGTAGTGAAAGGGGGCCAGACATGTCCATTAAAATAAGTAACAGTTGTGCCTGTCTGAGTCAAAACACAACAGCCTCTTTTGTTTTGATGTGAGGAAAAAAGAACAATAGAAATGGAGAATTTGGATTTGGTACAGAAGTTTTAAATTTACTGCACCAAACTTAGATGCTTCTCCAACTTAGCATCGACTATTGTACAGGATATTAAATTGTTATTAAAAAAGTCTGAAGGGCTAAAGGCCTTTGTGAGGAACAATTCAACAAGGTAGCTTCTGTTATATTTCCTTGCTGTCGTTTGCAGAGACAGGGTCATTAGATTAGAGTGACATTTGATTACAATGCTAATGGCCCAAATGAAAAAATCTCTTTACAGTGGCTTGCCATTTGCTAACTGACGGGCTGGGGTAGGCTTATCACTATCAATTGGGATGTTTTGGAAAAACATTTCCCAAAAACAAATCTCGGTTGTATCAGAGCCTAACTACAACAAACATCGAATGATATAAAACGACAAAGAAAAAAAAAAAGGAATATGCAGATTAAAAGCTCTTTGGTCTTGTTACGGAAGTTAGACAAGCCATCTGCTTTTTCTTCCCAAAATCACATATATTTCTCAAAGAGTAAATTACAATATAAGAGAATTTTTATCCAACCAACCGGTATAATTTCTAGTAAAAGGAGTTATATCTATTTAAATATCCGGTTTTAGGTTCAGGTTCGTGTGCATACAAAACATATCTTTGAAAGGGTCACTTTTGATAAAACTTGACAATGTTCGAATTTAATGCAGTCAAATAGCCATATAAAATCACAAAAATTCTCCTTTTTACATAAGCCTTGTCTAGATTTCTCCTGAAACAAAAAGAAATCATTCAAATATTTTTAAAGAGAAAATTATTACTTCTTTCATTACATGAGGAGAGTTACCACACAACTGCCTTCGCCACCTAACATGTGCTTCTTTTAGTTTCATCAAAGTAACACAACTAACCTCTATATTTTTGTTTCATATTCGTAAAATTCATACGATTTTAAAATAGAGATAGATCTAAATAAAAATAAAACGTTCCTGAAAATTTTTGTGGGTTAAAATGGATTTTTTCTTGTATTTTCTTTCCAAGAACTCTAGGCACTCTATAATAATAAGTGATTTTTTTAATTATTTTTTAGATAAAGCAAAAATTCTCCTCAATTCTCAATCCATTAACTCTACCATTTTTTTTGTTAATATGGCATGTCATTTGGTGCTAGTTTATTCCTAATCTCTTTTTTTAAAAGTGTTGGACACTTTAAAATTTTGTTAAAATAAAATTTAATAAATATTATTAAAATATTTAATATTTATTAAAAATCATCTTTTAAAAAATTAAAATTGATTAAGTCTCTTAAATTTTTTAAGTCATTTTTGTAGTTTTTTTAATCAACTAACAGTTGAAATAATGAATATTTAAAATTGAAGTGTCACTTATTTTCAGTTGATATTTTCATGTAGTACAATATGCTTTCAATGTTGAAGGAGAAAAATGAGTTGCAAATTCAACAAAACAATATTAATTTTATTCATTTATTTGGACATTAATTCCCTCATTTTTAATATAAAGTTGAAAAATATTAAAATCTTAAATTTAGGTGGTGCAATATTTTGGAGAAAGCCTGTTAATTGATTAAAAAAATTACAAAGAATGACCTAAGATGTTTAAAGGACTTAATCATTATTAATTTTCTTATAAGATCATTTTTTATAATTTATTTACAAATATTATTTTTATTATTATTAGAGTTAAAGTACATTTTATCACCTGCACTTTTTTCAAGAAATACTAGGTACTCTATATTAATAAATGATGCATTTTTTTCTTAAATTATTTCTAGAAGGGCAAAAATCCTCTCATTAGTGGATTGTTAATGAAGGGGAATTTTTCTCCTTCAGAAAGCTCTTTAAAAAAAATACTTTATTTATTAATACATAATGTTCAATACTTGTCGAAACAAAGTATAAGATAAAAAAGCACTTTAATTTGTTTTTTTTTTTTTTCGTGGTGGAATGAAGTTCTTTGAATTGAACAATTTCTCAGACCCAAAAGAAGGTATAAAGCAGCTTTGATTTGTGGATAATGGATTGATGCTTGTTGGCCCAAACGAAAAGGATCAAGGCACGAGGCTCTATTTATAGTATGGGCCCATCATATTCATATCCAACACAACCGAATCATCCACTTCCATTTAGATTGTAATTTGGGTCTAACAACGCAAACCCTGCTTTCATAACATTCAAGTGAAAAAAATAATAAGTTAAATTTTCCAAAGATATTATTGTCAGCGTGGCGACATGATGCACGACACAAGTTGTTCATATCGATGATTGTGCTTCACCGTCTAAACAAAGAAAAAGATCTAAATCCCACACCTTGGCTTTTTTGGAATGCTCCAGTCACCATCTTTTCATTTATTTCGTATTTTCTTAATATTTGTTGATGCTGTGTTGAATGTGTTTCTCACATATAAATATAATGATGTTTAGGCAGAAAAGAAAACATTAGTCCCCACGATTGAATCAAACTGTAGTAAACTTTATCATAGGAATTGAGACATGCAGTACTCATTTGTCTCTTTTCATCTCTAAAAAGTAGTTCCCAACACCGTCCCTATACGCATTATTGCTTCTGCCACATTCCCCATACTTCAATATATTAGATTTCCTTCGATTATACTTCCAAGTTTATCATTTTGGATTTCTAAAATAAGGGAAAACAAGATAGCACTTCAAATTTTACTAATAAACCACCATTTATAGCATAGAAATATTAGACCTGTATCAATAACACGGACAAAAGTCGCAAAACAATTGATGATTATCGAATCACGCATTGAATTTAAGACCCTATTTATCAGATATTGATTCTAGTAAATAAGGCTATAACTATTTAAATATAAAGTTTTGAGTTTGAGTTTATTTAAATTCAGAAAATATTTTTGAAAAATTTATTTCTGATTAAATTTAACAATGTAAAAAAAAAATCTAAGACCCTTCCTCAGGACTCCTAAGTTCCAACCACAAAATTTAAGAAGAAAAATTTATTATGTGAATAGATGTCTCAACAAAGCTTTAGTTTATTTCATAGAGACCCATTCCATCCATCTTCGTGTATTTTTTGACCATACACAGAATCTTACCTATTTTGTTCCTTCTTCTTCCCTCCCCTCTCTCTTTCGACATTGTTTTCCCTTGACAAATTGTCCAACTATTTTATGTTTCTTTTTTCTTTTTTAAATCCATGTTAAGATCATTGTACGATGATGTTTTTGCCCCCTCTCCGTCGGCATCTATTTATTCAAAGAAAATCGAACTGAATATCTGAGAACCTCTAAAAAGAGACAAAGACACGGACACATAACTAACTAGTGTGAGTAAGCAACAACTAGATTGCCCCCACGTTCTCGTGTTTTATAACATGGAAGATTCAGATTTAAGATTACGATGAACATGTCGGTCGCAAAAGCCGGAAACGG